ATCCTCGGGGATTTATCCTTCATCATCCTCATCAAGGCACTTCAAATTTCTCCCTCCTCAGTCACCCCCCCTCCCCCAACGCCTTCCTGCCACTCTGCCCTAGGTTGCACATTATTCTCACAGTATTCCCTTACATATTTCCACCACATAACCTTCACCTACACCTTTTACACCCCAAAAGCCCTCATACCACCTATCTTCAAAAACACCCATCGACTCCGTAGTGTGTATAACCTGCCCTTCCATTAAGCCCCTGACTTTACACTGTACCTCCAAGCTCGGTTTTGTAGTTACTCTCTCCTGCTGCTCCTCAAAACAGAGACTGAAGGCCTGTGTTTTGAGAAGTCTGGACCCTCCCCACATCAAAACGCTCATTATGGATTCCTCTGAAAATAAATTGTATAAAATACCGACACAATGGAACCAGTACACAGGCAGATCAGACGATTTAAGGAATGCCTGTGTTCAACACCGAAATTCGCACAACCATTTGATGAACTACAGAAATGCAAGACTTATCGCCAGAGAAGACAACACTCAATAACTAAATATTCACCCGCCTGTCCCGTGCCGGTCCTTATCACATCCAACCTACCCAGGATTCTCCACCTGACTCCATCTTATAAATACTCACGTACTTTCACCCAGATAGATCTGTGTGAGCGAAACGTTATCAATAAAGGATCACATTATACTGGTTATGTGTTTAGTTTTTCCATGGATGCCCCTAACCTATTCCTTCAATCCCTCAATATTATCCACAGGGAACACCCCTGTAACAGCCCCCAACCTATGACATTGCCTCAGTCTATTCTCATAATTTGCCAGCGTGTATTTCATATTATTAACCCTTCTTCCCTCACCCACGCAAGATAAGAGGAGCAGCATAGATCTTACACAAAATCTGAGAACTATTCTGGCATCTGTACCTAAACTGGTCCCCATCTACTCGTAGCTGACAGTCAGCTTCACATCATCCTACAGCTGTTCTCCAGTTATCACCCCACCAAAGTTTCATTGTGGTTCACGACTGGCGACTCAACTGCTTCAGAAGGGTTCTGGTTTTCAGAGGACTCCAGTACATCGGTTCTTCAGGATCTCTACTCATGTTGGAGTCACCCTTCTTGCTTCAAGTGTCACAAGTCATGCCCACCTATAACCCCCCCCCCCTTCCTCCAAACATCAACAACGGCTCAGAGTTCCAAACCGCGACTAAGACCTATGTGCCCAGAACATCTGCACGACATCCCACCTCCTTCCTTTTTTTCACTTATTAACTGTATATATATCTCAGCTACGAGTCTTTGCTTCACGTCATATTGATTTCATGTTCAAGTGTTTTATTTTCTATACTAGTTCTACATATCAATAAAATTGTATATCTTATTATGTTATCATTGATTTCTCTAGCTTATCATTTCCGTAACGAGGAATCGGCCTTATCATATATTTTGAGAGTCTGATATGGCTGTGAAATCTTTATGTTTGAATATAATAACTCATTTTCTTTTTTATATGTCTTAATTAAGGGGAACCATGATATTAAATTCAAAATATGTATACAAAAAACCATGAAATAACTGGTCTTATATACAGTATTATTCTTCGTATCATAGTTAAACTTTCTGTAATCTCATCCATGTTTTTGAGAACTTTGCATATTGGAAGACCAGAGTTCATAGATGAAGAAATCTTGAAAATTCATGGAATAGCTAATGATCTAAAATACCCTAAACACTTAAATGATCAATGTTTTAAAATTGCCAGGAATACTTTTATTTTTGTTTGTCAACACATCGGCCGTTTCCCACCCAGGCAAGGTGACCCGAAAAGAAGATACACTTTTATCATTCAATCACTGTCTTGCCAGAGGCATGCTTAGATTAGTTAAAAAAATGAAACATATCTTCACTCCTCCTTCAGAGCAGAGGCACTGTACTTCCCACCTTCAGGACTTTATACGGCTAATCAGTTTCCATGAGTCCCTTCATACTTCGATCACTCCAACAGCACGGTAAGTCGTAAAAATCATTTGTCTCCACTCCTATTTAACACGCTCACCTACTCATGCAGGAAGTCCAAATCTTTCGCACACAAAACCTCCTGTACCTCCTCCCTCCAACCTTTCCTAGATTTATATGGAATCCAAGTCATTCTGTTCTGCTTTGTCATCTCTGTCTGAACCACCTCAACAGACCTTCCTCTGCCCTCTGGATAATACCTTTAGAAACCCTGCACTTCCTTCTACTCCCCAAGCTATGGAGTCTCTGCATTATATTCGCACCGAACATTACCCTCAGATACGACATCACCAGTCTTCTGTCACTACCCAGGCTTCACACCTATATAAGGTCATTGGTACCACTACACTCTCATACATTCCCCTCTTTGCTTCCTTAGATAACGTTCTTTGTCTCCACAGATTCTTCAGTGCTCCACTCAACCTTTTTCCTTCAGAATATTTCTATGATTCACCTCGTCCTTCATAGACCCATCTGCTGGCAAGTCCACTCACAAATATCTGAACACATTCACTTCCTCTATACTTCCTCTAATCTTATATCTAATCTTTCAGTAATTTTTTTTATCTTTAACAAGTTGCTCTTTCCTAGACTCTTAATTTCTTTTACATACGCTACCAAACTCGTTCACCAACCTTTGCAACTTCTCTTCAGATTCTCCCAAAAGCACAGTGTCATCAGCAAAAAAATACCTGCTACAACTCCCACTTTTTGTCAGATTCTTAATCTCTTAATCCCACCTCTTGCCAACACAAGAACATTCACTACTCGTACAACCCAATCTAAAATATATTGAAAAACCATGGTGACATGGATCCATGTCTAAGACCTACTTTTAATGGGATGTAATCTCCCTCTCTCTTACGTACTCTAACCTGAGCTTCACTATCTTCATAGAAACTCTTAACCTACAGCCTATTTTATACATTTGTAACATCTGCCATATTGCCCCCATATCTACCTTATATGCCTATTTATTACAACCTAGGCTTTCAAATGGCCTGTTAACCCAGGTGTAATGGGAGCAAATAAACACAGTAGAAAAAGTTTAGACTTATATTATCCTTCACCAATTATAACAGCAATATGTACACTATGTACAGTGATAAATATAGTGCACTCCACGGTAAGCAAGGCAGAAATAGAAGCCACAAGATAGCAGACCGTGCTTCAACCAGCTCTAGAGTGGGAATGACAAGGGCAGACAGGAGAGCGGTATCCACATAACCTCTGCGATTGTCAATCCCACCTTCTTATTGGCTAGAACCTGGTCACTAGTTGAACGATGGGGCCCCATCATCAACTCTTAGCAACCTGGTTCGCTGGTTGGGGGAGATAGCCTGTAAATGAGGGTGTGTCCATGCGCCGAATAAAGGTTACGTACTCTTTGCATGCCACACCCCCACCCCCGAGAAGGCTCAGGATTAGGCTGCCACCTCCCAGTGGTAACCGTGCCGCCATGGCACAAAATAATGGGACCGCCTATCCTCTCCACCATCCAACTCTTAGATAGAGCTCAGCTTTCCTAGTGCCTGAAAGCCAAACCCTAAACTCAGAGTGAGACAGCAGTCAGATAAGCCAACATAGGTCCAAGATACAAGCGGACGGTAGCCCGTATCCCCTCACTAAAAAAAACCCCCACATCAGGGGATAAAAAAAAGAGCTTGAAAGGGGTTACCACAAATACATCCTAACCTAAATAAAATAATAAACTAGACTCTTGACAAAGAGTCTGCCAACACATTTTCTTTGCCGGCAATGTAACGAATTTTGAAGTTATAGGGCTGCAGCCTGAGCGTCCAACGCATAAGCCTTGTGTTGTGATTCTTCATGGCTTGGAGATAGACTAACGGGTTGTGATCACTGTAGACTGTGACCACCTGCGATGTCTGGCCCACATAAACATCGAAATGCTCCAAAGCCATTACCAGCGCGAGGGCTTCTTTTTCAATGGTAGAGTAAGCTCTCTGATGTGGCTGGAACTTAGCTGAAAAGTATGCTACAGGCTGCAACTCCTTGTTCCCGATTTGTAATAGTACCGCCCCAACCCCAGACTCACAAGCATCAACCTGTAATGAAAAAGGTTTGGAGAAGTCTGGAGACAGGAGAATGGGTGCAGAGCACAATAATCTTTTTGCTTTATTAAAAGCAGTGTTACAATCTGACGTCCAATTAAAGGGAACTTTATGACTGGTAAGAGAGGTAAGAGGGGCTACAATATCTGAGAAATTCTTACAGAATCTTCTGTAAAATCCTATCATGCCTAGGAAACGTTGAAGAGATTTCCTATCATGAGGAACTGGATAATCTTTAATCGAAAGAACTTTAGCAAGTTTAGGTGCAACATTACCACTACCTACTTCATGGCCTAGAAAAGTGATAGTGGCCTGGCCAAAGGAAGATTTAGACAAATTAACTGTTAATTGGGAATTCTTAAAGGTCTCAAACAGAGCTTTAAGTCTAAGTAGGTGTTGATCCCAAGTATCAGACACCACAACAATATCATCTAGGTATGCTGCCGTGCCTTCAAGTCCTTTAATAGCCTGATGGATGAGTTTCTGGAATGAAGAGGGGGAATTTTTCATTCCGAGGGGGTAACTGTATACTGATAATGACCTCCTGGAATTACGAAGGCAGAGATTTCCTTCGCCTTATCTGTCAAAGGAAACCTGATAGTAACCTTTAAGGAGATCTAATTTGGACACAAAAGTAGCCTTACCCACAAAGTCAATTACGTCATCCAGACGAGGAAGAGGGTAAGCATCTGTAATTGTGACCTCGTTCACTTTACGGTAGTCTGTGCACATACGAAACCCTCCATCAGCCTTCTTTACTAGGATGCACGGTGAAGCCCATGGACTAGATGACTCCTCCACTAAACCATGTTCTAACAAGAAGTCTACTTCCTGCTGAAGTAACCTTTGCTTTTCAGGATTAGCTCTGTAGGGGGAGAGTTTAATTGGTTTAGATTTTCCCACATCTACATCATGGTAACCTAACGTACATTTTTTCGGCACATCCGAAAAAATATTAGGATATGACTGTAGAAGCTCAGTTAAATTTGTTGCTTGTATTTCAGATAATCCATCCATTAACGGGCTAGGATCCTTGAGGAGGACAGAATTTGAAAGTTTAGTATTAATTTCAGAGATAGAGTGCAAAGAGTCAGAGTCGTCCTCAGAGGTAGAGGACAGAGTCATTACTGGGACTTTATCTGGTGTATGAAAGGCCTTGATTTGATTAATGTGGTAAGTTTTTGTTTTTGAGGTCTTATCAATGGGAGCTACCACATAATTTAAATCAGATAATCTACTTACAATCTGCATAGGTCCCGTATATCTAGCTTTCAAGGTGTGGCCAGGTATAGGTTCCTGCACCAACACCTTGTCTCCTGGATGGAAGGAGCGGAATTGTGCACTTTTGTCATACCTCTGTTTCATCTTACTTTGAGCTATTTTTAGGTTAGCCGTGGCTAACTCACGTGCCACCTGCAACCTTGAAGACGGGTTGTAGAGTGCTGAGCTTACGTCTTCTCCCATCCATCCTTCTTTGAGCACCCGAAGAGGACCTCGTACATTGTGCCCAAAGATCAGCTCAAACGGACTATACCCTGTAGACTCTTGCACCGTCTCTCGTACTGAGAACAGCAACAATGGTAGAGATTCATCCCAATCTGTCGGAAAGTGCATGCAAAAACTTCTCATCATTGTTTTTAATGTTTGGTGGAATCTTTCCAAGGCGCCTTGGGACTGAGGGTGATAGGCAGTGGATAAGTTGTGAATTATCCCTAACCTAGTTAATACTTCCCTAAATGCTTTGGCAGTGAAGTTAGTACCTTGATCACTTTGTATAGTTTTAGGAATGCCAAAACAAGAAATGAATTTTGTTAAAGCTTTGAGAATAGCTTTAGTATTGATACTACGCATTGGGATCGCTTCAGGATATCTGGTTACTTTATCCATAATTGTAAATAAATACTGATTTCCAGACTTTGACTTAGGTAGTGGACCTACACAATCTATAATTAAATCTGCAAAAGGTTCTCCATCAGCAGGTATGGGTTGGAGAGGTGCAGGTTTAATAGAATGTCCAGGTTTTCCAACTTGCTGACATTCTCGGCAACACCTAATATGATTCTTCACATCTTTCTTTAATGTTGGCCAATAAAATTCTTTTGTGATTCTATACAAGGTTTTTGTAATTCCTAAGTGACCTCTGATGACGTATTATGAGCTATATTTAATATCTGAGGTCTATACTTGGTTGGAACCACTAACCTGTCGTATAATTGCCGGCCCTCTGTCTCCTTACCAGTCTCAGTGCATACCAAATAATCATTTTTAACTTCATACTTGACTGGATGACCCAAAGAGGATTTACCCATGGCTGCCTCAAAAGCGAATTTTAAAGAAGGGTCCTTTCGTTGTTCCTCCCGGAAGGACAGTCCCTCGGGCATGGAAACAGAGACATCTGGGAATCCTGCAACCTGGGAATAGGAAGGCTTGATCGGGGTCTGTTCACTTGATTTACGAGACTCCGGCCGGTGTGTCTCATAAAACAACGTGGCTATTCCGAGATCGGAGTCGTCCAAGGATAGGTCAACATTCTCCCCAGACAACCCTTGGGATGTTGCCCGAGTTATGGCCAACACTGGAGAAGCATTAATCATTATAGGTTCAGGACACGAAGTAACAGTAGTAATGTTATTACCCAGTAATAACATGGCATTTTTCATGGGAAATCCTTTTGAGATACCTACAGTCAAGTACCCAGTGTAATATTTGCACTGTACATAAATTTTATGCAAAGGAACTGAATATATAGCTCCTCCGTAGGCTTCCAATAAAACGGAGGAATTCAAGGAAGTATTCTCTGAAAGGGGTAATATTCCTTCTCTGACAAGTGAGCAATATGCTCCAGTATCTCTAAAGGTATTTACTTTAGTTGGTTCTGAGTTTTCCTGAAGGGAAATAAGACTTTCGCAATAATAAGGGGCCATACCTTTTTCTACTTCTCTAGGGGACATGTTACTAGGGATATTAGAGATTTTCCCGATGGGTTGAGGTTTTTGGGGGCAGTTGGAACTGATATGACCTACTTTATTACACCTGAAGCAGACGACAGGCTTGCCCTTTACTCCCTGATGACGTTGCAAGTGGTGTCGTTCTGGCTGGTGCCTCTCTGGATATTGTTGTCGAGATGCTCCATAAGTAGTTTGCCTCTCCGCAGGGGGACCATATGTTGAGAAGCGTGGCTCACCAGGTGACTTGGTTGGATGTCGTAGACGCTCTCCCTCCGGCTGGCACTTCATTCTCCAATGTTGTCGATCTCTGCTCACGCCAGACTGTTGAAAAGAGAGACGGGACCGCTCGGACAAGGAGCGGTTCGTTTCGAAGGTATCAGCCAACCTGGCCGCCTCCAATGCAGTGGTTAAGTCACGATCCTGCAGAAAGACACGAACCTCTGGTCCCACAGACTCCAGCAGGTTATCAATCAGAATAAGCTGCACCAGCTCCTCAAAGTTAGAGACACCACTCGCTTTATACCAGCTGGTAAAAGCTTTGGTTTGCTGTCTCACAAAGTCCACCAGGGATTGACCAAGCTGCCGCCTGTTCAATTTGAAGGTCTTACGATATTTAGCTGGGATACATGTATATGCTCCCAACACTGTGGTCTTCACTACTTGATAATCAGAGAATTCAGCGTCAGTTAATACCGACGTAAATTCCTGTGCCTTACCCAATAATGCTGTATGAACCAACGCTGCCCAGTGCTGTTCCGGCCACCTCAAGGCTCGAGCCTGATTTTCGAAGCTTTCGAAAAATTGCTCTGGTTCGGCCTCATTGAAGCGGGGAACAAGCTGTACTGCTTTTTGTAAACTGAAATCGTTTACAGAATGCGAAAACTGCCTCCTTTCTCTTTCCCTATCAAATTCTTCCCTTGCGAATGCTCTCTGTTCCCTAGTTTGCTCAAGATTGATTTTTGCCAGCTGAAGTGCCAACGACGCTGATTCACCCTGAGACAACCCATGTGCACTATACTGACCATTTTGCTCCGTAGGTGTATCATCTTCCTCCTGCGAGAACATAGTAGTTTTTTCCCTAGCTCCCGTAAAGGGAGGAGTTTGATGTGCCATCTCTTCTTCAATAAGTATGTCAGCAATAAGTGAACGCAGTTGCGCAGCTGTAAGAGTGCGTTTATAGGGAATGCCAATGGAACGAGCAATTTGCCAACAACGCTGTAGAGACAATTTAGGTAGGTTATGCAAAGTATATGCCGACACCAGGCGTCTGACTCGTCTAGGTGGCATAAGTTATTCGCTATGCACAGTACGAATACCCCAACGTAACACGTTAATTTGCAGAACACGCTTAGCTATGCACAGTACGATTGCAGAATACGCATACAAGCAAAGCCGACTGCACACAAGATTGACCGTAGCGAAGCGAGCACACTGAACAAGCTAGTAGCGAGCTGTTGAACGATCACACAATAGCAAGGCTGATCATAAGCAACTGACACAATGTTCCTGCTACAAGCTTCACCCTAAGCTCAACCGTTTCTCTAAGTCCAGCTCTCGGACAGGCTACCCATATTACAACCTAGGCTTTCAAATGGCCTGTTAACCCAGGTGTAATGGGAGCAAATAAACACAGTAGAAAAAGTTTAGACTTATATTATCCTTCACCAATTATAACAGCAATATGTACACTATGTACAGTGATAAATATAGTGCACTCCACGGTAAGCAAGGCAGAAATAGAAGCCACAAGATAGCAGACCGTGCTTCAACCAGCTCTAGAGTGGGAATGACAAGGGCAGACAGGAGAGCGGTATCCACATAACCTCTGCGATTGTCAATCCCACCTTCTTATTGGCTAGAACCTGGTCACTAGTTGAACGATGGGGCCCCATCATCAACTCTTAGCAACCTGGTTCGCTGGTTGGGGGAGATAGCCTGTAAATGAGGGTGTGTCCATGCGCCGAATAAAGGTTACGTACTCTTTGCATGCCACACTATTCGAAATCCATAAATGCAGCGAAAACTTCTTTACCCTTTTCTAAACACTGTTCATCTATATTCCTCACTATAAACACTTAGGCTACACACCTCCTACCCTTCCTAAAGCATCTTTGTTCATGTACAATTCTGCTCTCCGTCTTAATCTCAACTGTTTCAGTAATAACTCAACCATCCACCCTACCATTTATAATCGACAGGCTTATTCCCCAAAAATTTTTACACTCTGGCTTTATACAAAATAACTATACATGCTCTCTCGCAATCCCTGGGTACCTTTCCCTCTAACCATTCCAAAATTATATCCCCACCTGCTTTTACCGTTTTTGTCTTTATTTCATCAATCCCAACTTTACTCTTTTATTCTACACACTGCCTCATGCACCTCCCCCACACTCACAAGTGGCACTTCCTCACTCCTATAGAATGTTATGCCTCCCTGCCCAATGCTCGAAATCACAGCCTCGCTATCTTTATCAACATTTAAGTTCCTCAAAATATTCCCTCCATCTTCCCCATACTTCCAATACTAAATCTAATAACTTTCCTCTCCTATTTTTAACTGTCAAATCCCAAGTCTTTCTTAACTTATTAATCTCACTCCAAAACTTTTTTAATCTCAACACAATTTGTTGGTAGTATCTCACCCACTTTATCACTTGTTCTCCTTTTACATTACTTTACCACTCTCTTAACCTCTTCTTTCCTCACTTTATACTCCTCTCTCCTTGTATAACTTCTTCATAAAAATGTCTCGTAAGCCAACTTTTTCTCTCTTGCTACTCTCTTTACTTCCACCAGTCGCTCTTCTTCCCTCCCGCACCCACTTTCCTGTAACCACAAACTTCTGCTGAACAATAACACTACATTCTTTAAATCTTTCCCATGCATCTTCAACCTTATTGCCTATACTCTCACTAGCCCATCTTCCTTTCAACAGTTATTTTATGTCTTGCCCTAATTGCTTTCTCCTTTTGTTTATAAACCTTCACTTCCCTCTTATTTGCTGATGCCATTCTCTTTGTTTCCCATCTACCTTTTACTCTCCGTAACTACAACTAAAAATGTGATATATCTGTGGCCCTCTCTATAACAAGACATCCTGAAGTCTACCCATCAACCTTTTATCTACCTATATATAGTGTAACAAATTACTGTCATTACGCCCTGTATCATGTCGTATACTTATTTTTTTTTCGTTAAATATGTATTACCTATTTCCAAACCACTTACTATACAAAGTTTAATTTAAGGCCCTTCACCAATTATAATTTACACCTGGCACCCCAAATATACCTACAACACCATCTATAACAGTGCCAGCCTCTTTTTAAAACTCAAAAATGAACAAAATATCATATTCAACCAAGAACATGTTGGTTCTTCCTTACTATGAAAACTATCTTGATATACTTTCTCTACTTAATAATTATAAAACGAAAGTTCTGTTTAAAAATCTTGATAAGGTAAAAATAACTTGATTAAAAATTCCTTAAAAAAATGCTATCTGCTGTCCGCAAGATTCCTTTTAAAAATGCAATAGTTTGCGGTCAAACTGCGTAAAACCTTGAAATAAGAGTACAACATAAATATAGCATTAAAATTAATTAAGAGTCTAATGCTCAGCTTGTATATATGAGAGTCTAACCATTCATATGATTTTCCAGAATCCGAGAAAGCTGTATCATATAGGTTTATGACTGAGAGAAATATTAATGAATAAATCTTCATGAAGAAGTTTTGATTTTAATATGAATATTGATTTTGTGTTATACAAATTAGATTCATTCACAAAAAGTAAAATCTGAGAAGAGTGTAAACTGTATTTGACAAGTCCTTTATCATCTCACCAGCAACATCATAAAGGGATTGGTGAGGTGTCGGATGCTGAGTGAGGTGTTATCTCGGAATGGTAATCCTTCAGTTGTTCTATTATTTTTGCAGTTCCTTAATATTGTGAAAAATCACGAAAGCTCTTGGAAGTTGTGATATCACCTGCTTACTGTGATCTTAGTGCAAATATATATACACACACAGAGAATGATCATAGTCAGCAGGATTCGAAAGCACACATGGAGGGTGATACAACTTCCCAAGTGATGCTCATACCACTCAGCTACCTATGGCACAAAGGAGCTAGGTAGTCTGGTTACAAGCCACGTTTCTTCTTAGCCCCCAGGTACACTAATACTCTGTTCTCACCATTCGAGCATTTTTTTTTATTAATGCATTAAGCAGAAACAAGCAGAGGTTGTTAGGTGAGACACATATGCAACAGTTAGGTATCTTTATTATGAAACGTTTCGCCTACACAGTAGGCTTCTTCAGTCAAGTACAGAAAAGTTGATAGAAGCAGAAGATACTTGAAGACGATGTAATCAGTCCATCACCCTTAAAGTTTTGAGGTGGTCAGTCCCTCAGTCTGGAGAAGAGCATTGATGGACTGATTACATCGTCTTCAAGTATCTTCTGCTTCTATCAACTTTTCTGTACTTGACTGAAGAAGCCTACTGTGTAGGCGAAACGTTTCATAATAAAGATACCTAACTGTTGCATATGTGTCTCACCTAACAACCTGTCGGTATTTTATACCATTTTAATGTTCAAGCAGAGGTACATACATAGGGAAGTTGAATGATAGCTTTAAGTCATTTGTGTTGGAATCAAGACAGAGGCTTGAAATCTTGCATAAATGAACAGGAAGTCTAGGCAGAGTTAATGGGAGAGGACGAACCAGCAAGACTGACCCTAGTATTCACCTTGAGTAGCACAGATATGAAGGACATCACAGATGAAAGGTTCCTCGGAGCCAGTGATCATGTGGTTCTGAGCTTCGAATACACAATAGAGTTACAAGTGGAGAGGAATGCAGGAAGTGCAGGACGAATGAACCAAAACTACAACAGAGGAGACTAGGCAGGCATGAGGAATTTCCTGCACGTGAGACAGAAAACTGACCCAGAAATCAGTAAATGAGATGATGGAATATGTGACGACAATTTACAAAGAGGAAGAGGTGAGGTTTGTATCCAAGGGCAACAGAAATAATGAGAAGGCCTGGACGAGTCCTTGGTTCGTCCAAAGGTTTAGTCAGGCCTTAACCAAGTGCGCTAGAGGATGGAAGACGTAGAAGACAAAGGACCCAGGAGAATAAGGAGAATAGTCGAAGAGCCAGAAATGAATATGCACAGGTAAGAAGGAAGGCCCAAAGACAATAGGAAAATGACATAACAGAAAAAGCCAAGTCAGACCAAAAGCTGTTGTACAGTTACATTAGAAGGAAAACAGTCAAGGAACAGGTAATCAGGCAGAGGAAGGAAGGAGGGTAGAGCACAAGAAGTGACCGAGAAGTATGCGAGGAGCTCAACACGATATTTAAAGAAGTGTTCACAAAGAAGACAGAAGGGACTCCAGAAAGAAGAAATGGTGGGGTGCACCATCAAGTGCTGGATACAGTACATGCAGCCGAGGAGGTGAAGAGGCTGCTAAGTGAATTTGATATCTCAAATGCGATGGGGATGGATAACATCTCTCCGTGGGTCTTGAGAGAGGGAGCAGAGGCACTCTGTGTACCAATAATAATTATCTTCAACTCTTCCATCGAGACAGGGCGACTGCGTGAGGTATGGAAGACAGCAAATATAGCACCCTGCTGGCACTGGCAAGACAGTGATGGAATGAACGATGGTGAAAGTTTTTCTTTTTCGGGCCACCCTGCCTTGGTGGGAATCGGCCAGTGTGTTAATAAAATAAAAATTAAAAAAAAAAAAATAAGGAAACAGACATGCAGCATTAAACTACAAACCAGTGTCATTGACATGTATAGTATGCAGAATCATGGAGAAAATTATCAGAAAAATAGTGGTTGAACACCTAGAAAGGAATGAGCTCAGTGACAACTAGCATAGATTCAGAGCCGTGAAATCCTGTTTCACAAACCAACTGGGGTTCTATGACAAGGCGACAACAGTAAGACGAGAGAGAGAGAGGGGTGGTTAGATTGCATTTTTTTGGGACTGTAAGAAGGCTTTTGACACAATTCCACACAAGAGATTAGTGCAAAAGTTGGAGGATCAGGCACTGTAATGGATCAGAGAATACCTGACGGCAGGCAACAACGAGTTAGGGTAATTGACGAATCGGCGCCTGTAATGAGTGGAGTTCCACAGGGGTCAGTTCTACGACCAGAGCTGTTTCTGGTATATGTGAATGCCAAGACGAAATGAATACTCAGCTATGTCCCTGTTTGCAGATGATGTAAAGCAAATGAGAATTCAATTGGAGGGGGATCAGGCAGGACTACAAAGGGATCTGGACAGGCTGTTGGCCTGGTCTAGCAACTGGCTCTTGGAGTTCAACCGCACCAAATGCAAGGTCATGAAGATCGGGGAAGGGCAAAGAAGACCGCAGTGTACAGTCTAGGAGGTCAAAGGGTACAAACCTCAAGGAAAAGAA